GGCTCAGGGGGCTGCTGTGGGGTTTGTGTTATGGACTGTATCACTGTGGAGGAGTATAGGAACCTTGTGCACAGTAGTAGACTGCGGCATCTTCAGCCTCCAGGCTGCTGATGGTGAGGCTGAAATCTCTGTCAGACCCACTGCCACTGAACCGAGATGGGACTCCAGTTCGTAAGTTGGAAACTTGGTAAATGAGTTGCTTAACTCGTCCACTTTTCTGTTGGAACCAGTTCAGATAGGTTTTCCCATCAGTGTACTTGACACTTTGACTGGCTGTGCAGGTGATGGTGATTTTCTCTCCAGGAGCCCCAGACAGAGAGGAGGGAGACTGAGTCAGCACAATGTCACCAGAAGTACCTGAGATTAAAAAGAAAAAAAGGAAGAAAGAAAAAATAAAATAAAATTGAGAATCCTCCCGTCTGTATTTCATCCTAATACTGTGAGAATTTGTAAACTGTGTTTCTGTCAGCTAAAACCTACTTAAACAATTTTTCTTAACTATATGTGTTTGATCTTCAATGCAATTTTAATGTTCTAAAGTGAAGAAAGTTTTTTCTCCCCACCTTCCCACATCCCCCCAACTTCTCACCTGTGGTGTAGAGACCCAGAAGCCCCAGGAGCAGAACAGGCGCCATCATACTGTGTGTCCTGCCTGCTGCTCCTCAGGCCTTCCCTTAAGGGCACATGCTCTTCATGGGGCTCTGAGGGAAGATGCAAAGCAGGGGAGGGGCTGAGCAATGAGGATTCAGAGAGTTTAAAAGAGAAGAGCAGAGATTCCATCCAGATCCTGGAAACAAGGGCAACTCCTACTTTAGAGGAAGACAGTTCTCCATTCCAAAGCTTGGTGAATTATGTTACCTTGTATTCATTATGACCCAAAGTCATTTAGAGAATTATATCTGAGACTTTAAATTTCTATCTTCCATTAAAGTAATAAAAATTTCAAGTGATAAAATTGGACACAGCCCCTAGGTGAGCAATCATTACCTCCCCACAGCCTTTTCTAGATCAAACATCTGACCCAGCAGATGTTCACAGGGTAGATGCTCAGTCCTTGAGAAGAAACGCCTTTTTCATTGTGAATAATTTCAGAATTAGTTAATATTTCATATATGTTACTTTTGGTTACATAATTTGTAAAATGGACTTTTTTTTTTTTCCTTTTTGTCTTTTTTCGTGACTGGCAACAGATTGCAACCCTCAGTGTCGCGCCCATACCGGACTGGGACCAGCAACGAGATCGCAACCCTCAGTGTTGCGCCCACACCTCCCTCAGCCAGTGAGCGGCCGGTCTGTATGTGGGATCCGAACCCTCGGCGGGAGCGCCACCGCGCTTCCCAAGCAGCGCACTGTAGCAGTGCGCCACCGGGCCGGCACTGTAAAATGGACTTTTTAAAAATAAAACTATTTAACTGGGACAATCACAATTCCTACTCATGCTGCCTTGGGCTACTCATTCTTTGACTATGCTAAGCGGGACTGGGAAAAATAAAATTAAAGAGTTCTGGTATTGAAAGTTGAATAGAAAACTTTTATCCATAGATATATATTTGTCCTGCACACAGTTCAAAATTGCTGAGATTTGAGATTTATGTGTTATTTTTGTAATAGACACATTACATATAGTTACTGAAATTTGTGTAACACCACATGTGAGATATTAAATAACCAATTGGCAACATTGGGCTTTGTTCCATACAGTGACAGCAAATGGGATCTGCAGTTACTGACCATGTTTGTCATGGTGTGTCTTTGCATGTTTGCCAATATTATGTCATGCTCTCTCCTTTCAGGCCTTGACACAATTTTAGTTAAGATTCTAAAACAGAAACCCAATCAAGTAACAATAAAAGGGTAGTAACGTTTTCTTCTGAGTATTGAATAGTTTGATTTTTCCCCATTTTGAAATCTGTCACTCATATGTGTCCACATCTCCTACACTCCACTTTATGTAAATTTGGTCTTTTGTCACATACAGCACTTTGATCAGATAGAGACTCTCCTGTCAGAACTTCAAGAGTCATATCCCTCTAAGGATTTCTCCGTTTCCACTGAGTAATCCATTCACCTGTGTCTAAAGCAGCCTCCAAAGTCTTAGGGATGCCCTGACTAGATAGAACAGACCTGCCTGAGTTTGACTTTATTAAGATTGCTCACAGAAAAATGGAGAAAGTTTCCACATGTCTCCTAGTAAGCTCAAACCTTTGTCTCAGGATACTTGCATTTAGAATGAAGTGTAATATCTTAATGTGTCAAGCAACAGGGTGTTGCTCTAGTCTTGACAGAGTCGACATCACATCAACAGCTGAGCCTCAGTCACATGGAAGGTGTGTGAGTTGTTTGTTAAAGATGAGTAGTCCCAATTTTTCTTTATATGAAGTCAGATAGTATTCACAGGTATATATTCTTTATATCTCCTAAAATATAACATACATAGATTTGTCTTTTCTTCTTATCATCAGAGCAAGCTAGTAGGGAAACCCATCCCAAGAGTTGAGCCTAGTGGGCAAGGGTCAGCAGTTGAATACATAGATTTTTCTCTTCTTCTTATCATCAGAACAAGCCAGTAGGGAAACCCATCCCAAGAATGAGCCTAGTGGGCATAGAGTCAGCAGTTGCATTTTATGCCTCTGCTCTTTGCTTTGAGCAAATGGGGCATGTCCTAAAGAGGAGACCTCAGGGCTGGAAAGCAGAAAGTGTGGGAGATAGTGATTAAGTCCAGAGAAAATAATACAGAAATTGAGAGAATCATTCTGAGAATGTGGAGATGACCACGTAAATTTTAAGCCTAAAAATTACTGCATTACTTTTTTTTTAGTTTAAAATGTTACGTGGAAAATTGACAGAAATGGGGAATTTAAATTTATATTTCTCAAGTGGCAGGTGCTACATAGAGGACAATACCACCGCTGAATTGACTCTAAAAGAAAGCACAGTGTCACCAGGGAATACCCATGCAAAGAACATACGTTCAATAAGCATGTCAAGTCCACCACCTGGTGTTCAAGTTATTTAAGCTCTGAGAACAAAAAGGCTGGATTTCTGAGGGCCTGAATCATAGCATCAGTGAATCAGACACTTTATAGGGGCATATGATCAGCTGATTCTTTACCTGCCCCTTTTAACACTGGCATTATCAGATAGGATCACTCTCTCTCTTTCTCATCTCTACATCTATTTCTATCTCTAATCTTTCTGTTTGTCTCCAAAATTCCATTTATATCTTATTAACAAATAATGTCTTATGAGTTGTGAAATTATTTTTATTCTGCTAGAAATTTGTCAATGTGAATTGTTGGTGAATTTCAGAAAATGTTCACCAGGTGTCTATGATGAATAGATGTTAGTGACACATTCTGTCCTCATCACTTTAGCACATGTGGGGAAACAATCCTTCCTCTCTTTGTTCTCCTAAGAAGAATGGGTAAAACCCAAAAAGGGGACAGAATGGCCCATAACTGGCTGTCACCAGCACATGCTAGAAAACAATGTGACACTCATGCATTTTAATGGGATTAGTCATTTAATGAGCAGCCAACACCCCAATTTCTGGACACCTGCCTCCTCAAAGTCTCAACAGCAATTCCTGCCCATGACCCTAGAGTTTCAGTAGCATGTCCTAGAGCAGAGTCCTCCACACTTCAAGCCTTGCTTCTAAGTCATGATGCCACCATCTTACTTCTGCTCCCCATGACTTTTGTTCACTACTGGAGACCACCACTGCACCTATTCTAAGCCTTTGAAGAACATTTGGATATTCTGCTCTTTCAAAACATTAAGTACAATTCCTCTGATTCACAATGGCACAACTGAGATAAATTTTCAGCATTTAGCACTCATTTACCTAATCTTTAGATGAAACAATACAGATCACAAACAGTGAACGTGTGCATCTAGATGTGGCTTCTCTTGCAGCCCACAGCTCAGCCCCATGTTTACTGACTCTGACCTACCTTCCCTCTTTCTTGGTTTCTTCTCCTAGCTCCTGGATCCCAGGCAACCTTATATGGTCAAACTCATGTCCCCACCTCACCAACCTCATGTCATCAGAGTAAAATGTTTCTGGTTTGGGGAAGGGACTGTGGCCCCAGACAGCCTGGGCTGGATTGCAGTCCATAACTGCTGGGCTCTGTGACCTTGACTGAGTCATTTCACCGCTCGTCCCCTCTGCCTCCATGTCTACAAAAAGAGTAGACCTTGCCCTCTTCATGGAGTAGTGAAATGTTGCCTTGTAAACTGCTATAAATTGATGACAGTGCCTGGTGAAGGTAAATATGACATACCGTGAGCTACTATACCATCAATGTAAGGTCCACAAGTGGAGGATTTTGTTAGCTTTGTTTGCTTGTTCACAGAACCAAGAAGATTTATTGCGCATTCTCAGTAACTACTTGCATGACTGGATTTCAAACCCAAGGACCCTTGCCCCTGTACAGAAAGCAAGGTTATTGCCCACACTACTTCCTAACACCTTCTTCATTTCCAGGCCAAGAATATATATCTAAACAAAATAATTGGAATAGTAACAAAAATATCTTCAGTTATTATGACCCTGAATAGAGATGTAATTTGGAATTAAAAGATCACTAATTAAGAAGATATTTTATAAACAAAAATAAAAACTAAACACTGATAAGGACAACTTCCCCCACAGAGTGTAACCTTGTGTATTCTTATCCTGCCCTTCACAGACTCATAATTAAAAACTGTCATTTTTTCTTTTTCTAAGTGAAGTGGAAAACTCTGTCGATAGAAACAAAATCAGTAGGCCTTTTAGATATTTTTTAAGTAAGGGAAGGAAAAGTGCTTTAAATATATTATACTCTCCAGAAAAAAAAAAAAAATGCACGCGCGCACACACACACACACACAAGTATATAATATACAAGAAATTTAAAAATATAAAAATATATTTTATCCTCCAGAAATGCTAACATTAGTGCAGTTAATTTAATAAAATTCTACTAGTCATAGGTGATTCACAGGCAATATTAGTTGGAGGAAATTTGGAAAAGTGTATTCATAGATTTTGTAGTATTTGCAGAAAGTGTGACTTTACAGTGCAGTTGGAATTGACTACTGCTTGATGTGAATCCCTCCTTCATGGTACTTCAGAAACACCCCATCCTCCTTGTTCCCCTGATGCCTTACTGGCCTCTGTAATTTTTCTGTCCTAGATTCTCATATTCTTACCAGTCCTAAGTGTGGACAGCCTCTGGACTCTAAATTGAGGCCACTTCTCCCTTAGGAGGTGAGATATTGAGTTCCCTGATGACTAAACTTCTTCACCAGAATATGAAGTACAACATGAAAAGGAATCAATTCAAAACTAGAAACTTTGAATTCTTTAACATGACTTTCCTCTTCTCAGGGCTAATGTTTCACAGCAAATATTAAACAATTATGTGACAAATTATTTGCAAAGTTAGCTGCATTAAGTCCCCGCCCTGCACTCATGCCCTTGGGTAGCCCTGTCCTACATGGACTCAGGCCTTGCTCATGGCCAATGGGATAATAGAAAATGTGACTAAAGCAGAGACTCCAGAAGAGCGTGCATGTTGGAG